GGCATCTTAAATTATCAATGAGGAGGAATTGAGTCGTCGTTAGCCGGACGGAATTCCAAACAACGCTGGGTATGATGCTGATGGGTGGACTTACCACAGTTTCGGACAAAAAACGTTTACAGTGCTCTGCTGAGAATGACTGTAAGGATGAGTTGAAATTACGAAACCTTCTATGGCTACTACAAAAACAAGTTTGCACACACGTGTGTTTATCTTTGTAGTGAGTGAGTGAGTGAGGGTAATATTTTTGTAGACATTTGGGAACTGTACTTTGCTTGGTCCATCCATCCATCCATCCATTTTCTTCCCTTTAATCCATTTCTGGGTCAGGGGGGTGGCAGTCAGAGATGCCACCCAAGTCTCATAGCACCAGCCCCTCACTGACCCTCTGCAGGTGGTGAGTCCACAGGAGGACGGCTGCTCTCTGAGTGTGAGCATAGCCTTGATCTTTCAGTGGGGGCTTTGGGCAAAGTTGGGTTAAGTGTCTTGCCCAAGGACACAACGACAGCAGTCATCAGTGGGAGTCGGTGGAGAAGGTGCAGAGGTGGGAATTGAACCCACGACCTTCTGGCCTTAAGGCCAATGCTCTACCAACTGAGCTACTGTCGCCCTGTTTGCTTGGTATTACATTGATTTTTTTTGTAAATAATTTAAAGTCTGTCAGTGTAAGACACGGTCATGTATGTATCTATATACATTAGAATCCGTTTCAACGAATATAATATCAGCCTGACCAGGGACTACAGGTGGAAATTAGCATCTTTGCTATAACCGGGTACAATGCATCTCTCCCTTGTGTTAATGTTTAATTGTACACTGTCCCTGTTCAAATAAAGTACATACCATACCATACCATACTAGCCCAACTTTGCCACATTACCCAGAATGAAAGGGAAAGTATGTCATAACAGTATGCTTATTGTAAATTACATCTCCCCAGATAACACCGGGTAACAAAAAAATAGTTTTTTGAAAATAGTCCAGGGTTTTCCAGCTGAATTAGACTAATTTTGATGCTCTGAGTCCGAAAATGACCTTGGTTTTGCTCAATCAGGTCAGGATTTTTTGCTAAAGAAATATTTTTTTTAATCGATTTTGCGTAAAAAACAAATTTCTGCAGATCATCAGCTGAGAAACCCTTGACGTTTTTTCCGTTTTCCTCAAGAAATAAAAGTCAACGTATCCAAAGTCATTCAGTTTTTATTTACTCCATCAAATTTGATAAGCAGAATTCATAATAACGTAGACGTACATAATCCGTAACACTATGGCTGTATCTCAAAAAGTTGACCTGATGGAGCAAAATGCATGTGATATTCGGACTCAGAACACCAAAATTAGTCTAAATCAGTTGAGAAACCCCTGACCATTTTTTGGCTGTCAACTTGTGTAATAGGTCAACATGTACAGAGCAAATTTGGCCGAGTTATTCGTTTATCAAAATATTGAACATGTTTTACAATATGAAATAAAATCACAGGAACCAGATGACATAGAACATGTAATACAATCCATCAATATCTTTCCATCACTTATTTTCACATGCATTTTTCAGACCAAAAATGGAAAAAGACAGGAGCAACCTCACTCAGATAATCAGCGCTCAGCCCCAACTCACTGGGCAAACCATTACATGTTTGCTTACAAGATGAAGGTAGAAAACAAAACATGAAAAAGTATACTAAATCCATAGTTATACGGGAGGGGGGGGGGGTTGAGCCAAAAAGTACCTCATATTAGCTTCAATGGATTTGCTTCCTGCATATTTGTAGCTACTGTAATCTGTGCAAAGTAAAAGTTAATTGACACATGAACAGGCAATTTTCTCGATGTGACGGTAAATAAATCCCCCCTGTCTCTGTTCTGTATAAACAGGGAATGTTGCAAGTTAGGGCACTGGCTTCTCTGCACCTTAAAACTGAACAAAAGTGGCGTCGACTACCATAAGCTCATTACGACACGCCAAAGATAGGGCCTAGTGTAAGCTTTTAATGTGGTCAGCTCCTAATCCTGCTGCTTTTTGTCAGGAACACCTTTTCATTTCCAAATCCACTGTCCTCTCATTTTCATAATGTGCCCGAGCAGCCCTGAACTTCAAATCCCTGAGAGTGGACTGTGGTGTATTTAAAAGCTCGGTCTAAGCAGTCGTTCTTTGGTGTCTTCATAAGTCTCACGAGGCATAAACACAAAATGAGGGAAAACCTTTTTCAGTGGCACGACAAACAGTACAAATGATATAGAAAAAAACATATTGTATCCATGTGTTAGTTCCTTCACATTTCTTTCAGTTTTTGTCAATTTTTATAATGTATATTTCTGGACCCTATGACCTTGTGTATATTCATTTGTATGGATCTCATGAGTTGAAAGCATCGCAATAAGCCGGTCTCCATGGGTCCATTGATAAAAAGAAAAACAGATAATAAAGTCCAAAGTCCAAAGTGCTACACAGATGAAAGTAACACATTAAGATAAACTAGTCTGCAAGCTTTGAAAAAATAAAAAAATAAAAAAAATTGAAAAAATAAAAAAAACAATTTAAATAAATAAACAATTAAAAAATAAATAAATAAAACAATTAAAATAAAAAAAAATAAAAATGAAATGAAAACAATTAAAATAAAGTTAAAAAATAAAAACAATTAAAATATAATAAAAACAGTTAAAGTAAAATTATAAATAAATAAAATAAAAACAATCAAAAATGAAATTTAAATAATTAAAATAAAATAACAATCAAACCGGACCATTTTCTCTGCTCTTCTTGAGAGTGAAATTCTGAATGCTTTATTGGCATAAAAAAATAGCATTCCTTCAGTGGATATACGCTTGATCTGCTTATTTCAAATCAAATTGATGTTGTTGTAGTAGCAGCAGGAGAAGTAGTGTAGTGGTAGTAGTAGCGGTCAAAGCAGCAGCAGCAGCAGCAGCAGTAGTGTTTGCATGTTTTCATTGATTTTATTTGTTAGGACAGTGCAGGTCATTTGCATTCAAGTCGCACTCACAAACACACTCATTCACCCTGAACTATTGTGACCCATGTTTTTAGTGGTATATTGGAAACCAGAGCACCTGGAGAAAACCTACAGCCACAAGGAGAATGTGCAAGCTCCACACAGAGAGGCCTGGAGGTAGAATCGAACCAGGACCTTCTTGCTCTGCTAACCGCTGCGTCACCGTGCTGTAGTAGTAGTCACAGTAGTATTAGTAGTAGTTGGGGTAGAAGTAGTAGCGGTGGGGCCTGGCCTGGGTTTACATGTTCTCTCCATGTCTGCGTGGGTTCTCCTCTGGCCGCTCAAGTTTACCCTACCTCCATAAACATGTACAATAGGTATAATCCTCCAGCTCCGGTAGTCCTGACCAAGCCGAGCGTCATTATCTGTAGATGGGTCCTAGGGGCGCGGTACTACTGCGACCAGATTCGAGCCTGAGTCCTTCTGTTCAAACCCCTCCACATGAAGCTGATCACACAGTCCCATTACGTCGCTCTTCGTACCGAGCAGCTGCTGTCTAATTAACACCAGTGGGTTCCAGTGAAATTACGGCTCTTCACAAATCTCCTCTCAGCATCTGTAATTATTTCAATCTATTTTTGGCGCTCTGCATTTCAGGAATAATCACACACAGCGGTTTTTGTGACCACTATAGTAAGTTACAGTAGGAAGCAGCAGTGGAATTAGCAATCCACAATTCTCCTCTCAGCATGGTCATTAGAGATGCTTTTATTTCTTTTTCTTGTCATGTGTTACTTGAATGACATTGTTATAGTTGTTTCAATATTTGAAAATATTTATGTTCTGAAAATATGTCAACAAGTCTCAGTGCGCTAGCTAAAATGTTTTGTTATTGGCATTATATCTGAAATACTTAGCTCGAGGAAGAGTGAGACTTTAGTTGTATGGCACTGAAATATATCTGAAAAAAAAAACTTATTAGCCTTTCTGATATTTGTAATTGACATGTATCTGTTTTTGTAAATGAACTCTTCATTTATTGTTTTGTTTCAAGTCATTAAAAAGGTGTCGAGAGAGCATTGGGCTCTCAGGGCTTAGGAACTCAATCATGGTGTCAATCACAGAACATCCATATATGGGCGGGCATTCAACAGTCTCATTGGACCATCGCCACCATATGTGGGGAGAACTCAAAAAAATGAACATATTTTGGGAAAGCACTGTTAAAGGAATACAATGCACTGTAAATCTATGGCAGGGGTGTGAAAGTCATGTTTATTGGGGGCCGAATTAAAATGAATATATTTGGTCGGCGGCCACCTCAAACTGGTGCAGGCCGATGTAATGAGCTCCCCTCTCTTTCGCTTTTTAGGCTACTTTTGTTCTTTATTATGTAAATATAGTTGTGTGACAGCTAGCTAAAGCCTGGTTCACACGAGACGATTTTAAAATTGTCGGCCGATTTTTCTCCGTGTTAGACCCCACACGGGGAGATTAAAAATCCTGCGTCTAACCACTTTGGTCGTGCAGTGTGTGGTGCGTAGCCACACGGCAAGATCACGCAAGCCACAAACATCACACACGAACCGACACCCCCCCCCGAGCATTCCCAGGTCAGACGGAAATCTCACAAAATCTCTCGAGATCAAGCGTGACTTCAGAGTAAACAGTCATGGCGGACGAAGAGGATGCAGTGGCGATAGTGTGCAGTTTGTTGTTAACAGAGAAGAGACGTAATCCAAAGAAAGGGCAATGGTCAAAGCCATGCTGCTGTGTTTTGGTTTTTTTCCGGTGTTTCCTCACCGGCTTGTCACCTCGTCTTCTTATTGGCTACACGCCGTAGTCTTCATACCTTCTACTGTAGTGTTTTCCGTTCTGCCGCAGATTGTAAAAGGCAATAAGCCCTGACAGAGACAGAGGAGGCGGCTCTAATATGCTGGCAGCGTTCTTTAATATCAGAGGGAAATATGCGCACTCGTCCCATGGGCCTTTTTTGTTTTGTTTTATGAGACTCCGACACAGCTGCAAACTTTGCAACTGCTCAGGATGTACATGTCCAGTGTTATCAAGGGCCGTGCAGCTCCTGGACTTTATTCACAAACTTCTACTTCTAACTGCAAAGTCAAAAGTAAACTTCTCTACTGAAATAATGTGTATACATCAGATAAAAAGGCGTGAAATGAAGAGGTGTGTTTAATACTCTATGGAACAATGTTGTACAAGCAGCTCTTGATGTCGTATAGAATGGTTATCTTATTTACTAGTGCTGTGTTTGCAGAGTAACAAAGTGCTTTTGGGTGAATGACACATTGACCTTTGAAATCTGTTTTTAATCATTACTATAAATAGCAGTAGAAAATACGTTTGCGTTGATGGATTTCTGTTGGTTTGACTGGAGAATTTTCCATAATTACTTTGAAGGCAAGTCTTTTGTTGTCTGTTGTTATCGGAGGGTTCGTCAATGAGTTTGAAAAGTTCAAAAATCAAGCAGAAAGGGAATGTTTGTGCAGATTAAAAGCTCAGCAAAGATTATGTTTAATTCTACGCAGTGGGTTTAACTTTTTCCCCTATTAAATGATATACAGAAAACATGTTATACTTTGTGGAACCCCCAATAAAATATGGACCGTATGTAATTGTTTTTATTACCTTTTAACCGTTTTTACTGCGTACTGTACATAACATTTTACTTTTTCTATTTTTTCTAACCATATAAGTCAGTAAGTAAGTAATCTTTTTTTTAAATACCGCCTTTCACAGACCAGAGTCACAAAGCGGTTTACAATTGTTTTTTTTTGGGACTTGTCCTCTCACTCCACACAGAGATGGGAGCGGGGTCGCCGAACAGGAGGCGCATTCCAGACCTATTGTACATGTTTTTAGTACATATAAAGCCTGTATTTAAATGTGTTACTTATGTCCGTGCAGCACTTTGGAAAATTGTTTTATAAAATGTGCTATATATTTAAAGTGGATTGGATTGGATTGGAATCACAGCAATCTTTTGGGATACTAGAGACTGCAAGTTTGTGTCAAAAATGTTAGGTCTGGGCTTTGACATGGCCATTCAAAGACATGATTTTGTACTACTTTTGGAACCCAATGTATATTAAATTAATCATTATTTTACATTTATGCTCAAATATCTCTGTTGTTGTAGTCACATTCTATCTTACAAAAATACATTTTACTTTTGACACTAACCAGCCTTTTTGTCTGTTCTCTTGCAGCTCCCATCAACCCGCACCTGAGTAAGTACAACTCTGATTGTTCCATTTCCACAACAAGTCAAGTATCAAAAATACCCATCATTCCCACACACGGGTCTTTTCTTATTTATCTCCTCTCCATTGTTTAAATCCTCCATGACTCTTCCGTTGAGACTTGGCTCTTAATCATTGTTTATTAGCGGCCTATAGGAGTGTATTTATATATGTTTGCTGCGGTGTGGGTGTACGCAGCCTTATCACAAACATTCTAATCACTTCCATCATTAGCCAATCCCACAAGGAACCTCACCTGCATCACATTTCTGTTTTTAAAACCTGCTTCTCCTCGCTGACAGAGGCACCAATGCAGGCAGCTACACCGCAAAAAAAAAATATACAAAAGTGAGAACGCTCTTAAAGCTGGGGAATCTTTACTTTTTGGTTTCATAAAAATAACATGTTTGTCTCAACACAATGTCAACAGGCTGTTTTTTTTATCATGTTAGAAACATGTTTCACAACCCTTTAATGTTCACACCTTGAAGAAAGATATGTCATCTTTGTTTTAGATTTTTTAAGACGTAGGAGCACTCATAAAATAATGATATTGATACTAAAAAGAATGTGTTTGTTTTTTTAATGGTTGAGTTGCAGCTTGATGGTAAAAGTGCCTAAAGGTATATTTAAGTTCCAAACTTCAAGTAGATAGTAACTCAAAAAGTGGTCCACCGGTCACGTTGGGAAATGAGGAAAAAGGGAACCCAAAATGCAGGACTGAAAATCTAACGTAATTTAATCAAATCCAAAAACAGAATGACAAGAAGCACCACATTCCAGAACTGAAAAACAAGACAGGGACAAACATGGAGGAGACAATGGACCGTAAACAAGTGGGGAAAAGCCAGTGGGGGCGGGTCCCAGCTCAAAAGTGGCCAAAATGACGTGCGCTGACATGCTTGCTATACCACCCCGGGCTGATGGGGGTGGACCCAAAAGAAGAATTAGCCAATGCTAACATATACAGTAGCATTGGCAGACCTCTCAAAAATGTCTTTACAGGATGGTCCAAAAGTTGGCTCTTGGCCCAAAGCTCCGTTCCACATGTGTGTCAATGCTGAGGGGGGTGAATTATTTTGGTCCACTCTAGTTTACTCGCTGTGAATTTTTTAAGTCTCTCGTTCAAATGAATGGAGTTGGGCCGGCTGACGCATGCGCAGATGCGTTTTTTCACAATTTTCTTGTGGGCGGGACCACTCGCGGCCATTTTGGATAGCTCCAGTAGAGCACTATTTTTGGCCCATGAGTTAGAACGGCGGAGATAGGCGTGACTCTGTCCGTTAATATATACAGTCTATGGGAAAAGCAAAGGGTATAAATATACACAGGAGACACAGGTGAATCACATTAGGGCGGGTTAAGGACTATATTTTTAACTTTTAACATGTTTGTGCAAAAGACAGATGTGAGCAATCTGTCTTTTGCACAATCTGAGAGATTCTATCAATGGCAAATGTGACACGTGAATTTCTCCAGTGTGAGATCAATAAAGTCTGTCTTATCTTATCTAACAGGACAGATAAGAAGAAAACTCAAACTACAAGAGAACAAATATAGTCAGGTCAAAATACTACAAAAAGTCGACACCATGACACTACCAAATAGTTGAGCAAAGCAAAAAATCTGGAGATATTTTCCCACATTTATAGCCATTAAAAAAAACATGACAAGACTAATACAAAGGCAAAAACACTTCTAAAAGCCCAAAGAAAACAACGTCCAAACAACTAAGCCTTTAGAATTGTCTGTATACAGATATGGATAGACATCGCTAACTCCCGATCTCAACGAAGCCCAACAGGAAAGTGCTCATCGTGCCACACTCACCATTTTGGGTTTAAAAGTCCATGCTAAAGTACTTTCTTTGATCCCGGTGTTTATTTTGTGATATTTATCTTTGTAAATCCAGATATGAGCACGAACAACTGAGCAATCACCAACCTTCTGTCGTCAGTGGGGACAGACCGGTGCCATTTGGGTAACTCGGTCGTTGCTAGAACCAAAATGTTCATATATTTTTCTCCACGTTCTCGCTCAAACAGCCTCTTCAAACTAGCCCTAATCAGCCGGTTCTGTATATGGCTAACACCGTGGGTCACATGGAAGTTCCCTCTGAAAGATATTAAATATGTGAAATATTTCTGTTTAAATCTCACGAGGATCACTAAGGTTGGGAGACTGTGCAGAGCTTTTTATAAACTCACTTAATGATTTTGAAGTCGAGAAAATCCCAAATAATCTGCTCCCATTGATTTTTCTTTTCACGAGCTGCTTCCTGTTTGTGGTGTGTGAGTGTTTGTTGTATGTTGTAGCATGTGTGTGTTGTTTTGTAGTTTTTATGTCTTGTTTTTCAGTATAATAGCTTTTGCGGTGTGGTGTGTTTGTGTGTTGTATGTTGAAATACGTGTTTGGTGTTGCATGTAGTAGAATGTGTGCAGTGTGTAACTACATGTGTGTTTCTATGCTGTAGTTTGAGTGTGGTGTTTTGTAGTTTATGTGTGTTGTCTTTCTGTATATTTGCATTAACCGCTTCCCTGTTTGTGGTGTATGAGTGTCTGTTGTATGTTGTAGCATGTGTGTTGTTTTGTAGTTTGTGAGTTTTGTTTTTCAGTATATGAGCATTAGCGGCTTCCCTATTGTGGCGTGTTTTTTGTGTTGTAGTATGTGTTTGGTGTTGTATGTATTAGAATGTGTGCAGTATGTGTGTGGGTGTATTTTTATGCTGTAGTTTGAGTGTGGTGTTTTGTAGTTTATGTGTGTTGTCTTTCTGTATATTTGCATTAGCCGCTTCCCTGTTTGTTGCGTACGAGTGTCTGTTGCATGTGTGTGTTGTTTTGTAGTTTGTGTATTTATTTTTTTAGTAAATTAGCATTAGCTGCTTCCCTCTTGTGGTGTGTGTGTGTTCTATGTTGTAGACCATGTCTGGCTGTGTTGTTTGCTGTAATACATGATTGGTGTTGTATGTAGTAGACTGTTTGTGTGTGTGTTTCTATGCTCCAGTTTGAGTGTGTAGTTGTGTAGTCTTTCAGTACATTTGCATTAGCCGCTTTCCTGTCTATGGTGTTATGAGTGTCTGTTGTATGTCGTAGCATGTGTGTGTTTGTTTTCCAGCACATTAGCATTAGCTGCTTCCCTGTTTGCCCGTAGCAGGACTCCACTCGCCCACCAGCTCTGACTTAGCGTCGTTACCTGGCGCTCTGAAGGTCACCACTCCAAAGCGCTCGGAGCCACGCTTTAATAAATCAATGAATATTTAACAGGACACACTGCTCCACACAAGGCTCTTTTTACGAGCCGTGCGGGGGCATCGTCTATCCTCTACATGGCGGTTATTCTCTCTGTATAACAGCAAAGAGTTGAAAAGTGAGACCACAGAATATATTGATATATTAGTTAGACGGAAATGAGACTGTCCAACCATGTCTCCTTTAAAGTCACAATAACACAATTGCACAATTAGTTTTATTAAGTAGAAAATGCAATTATAAGCATTTGTTTATTGTGTGTATTTGGTATGAATATGAATAGTGGTATCATGGATAATATTAATCTGAATAAATAAACATACCTTATAAAATACCCCTGGTTTATGAAAAATAGTTTGCTATGTGGCAAATAATAACCACATAATCTACAAGGCTAGTCCCCTCCGTTTTACTGAAATAGCTGATCTAAAAATGTGGTAGATGCCAAAAAAAATACATGGGCTTGAAAATTTGTGTTAGAACCAAACCCAAGTGCAATTATATCTCTGGAGTTCATTATCTTATAACTTCTGAATTTTCTTAGATAATACATCCTGTTTGATGTGGCATAATCTGTGTACTGTAATTTCTATTCTGCTGTAATGTGCGCAAGTATGACATTGACTTTATTCTTCCCTTGAGGGAAGAATAAAGGTTTTTCTTATCTAACATCTTATCCTTATCTTCCATCAGGAACTAGTTATATTGATTTTTAAATGGTAGGCAAGTTATTTCCTCTGGTTTCAAAGTTAGGCACTCCATATTTAACGGGATGGGCACCTGTTAGATCCCTCCTTCCTAATCTGAAATAAAGTAGACTTAAAGCATAACTACGCTCACATTTGTACAGCGCGGGGTCGTTTTGATGGCGGCTCTGGCACAGCGGCTCCTCTCCTCTCCGTGCATCGCCTCGGTCTATTAGCAAACCCACCGGTGACCTCCCGCTGGCCCACAATTACTCTTTTCTTCTTTTCCCTTGAAGTTCCATCGACGCAGCGCAAACTTGAGCGGTTTAAAAAATGCACCCTCGCACCCACGGGAGCGCCCGATGAGCTGCGCGGTGACTTGGGGCGCCCACCTCTTCACACCCACTCTGCGCAAGACGGAGTGAGATGGAAGGAGTGGGGAGGCGTGTCAATTTACCAAACTGATTGCAGAGGCCCGTGCCATCGAGACGAAACAGTCAAGGACAATTGGATCATTTTTCCCCGGGTTAAAAGCCGTCATTCTTCAAATTGCCTCTGTACTTTGTCTAACTAGGACCAGGCAATCATTAAATATCGAGACAATGAGTGAGTGCGAGCGGCCTGCTATGCTATCGCCAGAAAGCTGCGCGTTCGTGGCGTTGAACAGTAATGGGTGGGGACGGTGTGAAAGATTTGAGACGTGGCCCTAACTTTGAAGGTCGCTTGGAACATTCGTGGTAAGCATTTTGTGTTCAGGTACTAACTTTTAAAAGTGCCTCAAAGACGAAAGGGAAAGCCGTTTGTGTGGATCGGTGGATTTTCACGATGGGAGGGATTGATTGAGAAGTGTGTATGTCCATGTATCAGACTGACCGAAAAAGGAAAAACTTTAAAGATACGATATTGCTTTTGAAACCTGCACAATCTTACAAAGCAGTATAAAGTTTGTATAACTAAGTATAATTAAGTAAGGCATGCACAAACTCAGGCCCACGAGCCAAATGAGGCCCTCTGTGTCATGTTTTCTGGCCCTCTGCCTCGCTAACACAGGTCATCATAGACACCAGTTCACAGTGTCATACAGCCAACTTCAGCTCTACCAATATATAGATAAGATACGATGAGATAGACTTTATTGATTTCACACTGGAGAAATGGACATGTCACATTTGACATAGATAGAATCCCTCAGATTGTGCAAAAGACAGAGCAGGATATAATTATGTACAATAAAAAAGTGGCAATTAAAGACATTTTGGCAATAGCAGTGCAGGTTTTTTTCAGTCGTGGTGCATTAGTGACTTAAATTGACTTATTGTACAGTCTGACAGCAGTGGGATGTATGTTATATCTTGTTGTAATGCTTGTTTTTTGTATATACTCTTTATTTGATTTTGATTGCGCCACAAAATTGAGTTGCTATCGTAGCCAACATCAACCTTATCGCAGCTGATTTCAAAGTTCAAAACAGTTTTTCAATCCAGGTTGTCGGCCCCCGGACAAGTCTGGCAAACTAAAGTGGCCCTTTTACAAAAAAAGCATTAAGTGGGCGGTTTGTCTGTGAGAAATAACAATAATAAAAAAATTACTAACAAGTGTCACCGCAGCAGTTTTGAAAAGGGATTGAAAGAAGTAAACGTGTATACACTTCCTAACCCCCCCTCGTCCGTTCAATCCATCAACATTTAGAACACGTACAACAGGAATCCATCGAGGGTTGGATGAAGCAGTACCACATTATCATTTTTCCTTCAACAAATTATCAGGATTTTTGCATACAGGGGTTCACATAAGAAAGCTGAAGATAGTATGGCATGGCTCAATATTGGCAGAAAAAAAGTCTTTTAAGAATGGCGTCATGATTTCTAAGTTGTTTTCCATAAAGCTGATTGCTAAAATGTGGGACGGTTAAAACTAACTGACCAACCAGGCATTTTTGGTCGACAGCCCTACAAAGACGCAGGAGAACAAGTATTGGTCAGGGTTTCTTCTGACACAGAGTAATAAGAAAATATCCACACGAAAACATTTGACCTAGTTTTGAAAAACCTAAATTTTCCTATTCAGACGCACACAGCTTTAAGTTGATGTAATTTCTAATCTAGTACAAGAGTAATTTGTCTACTTTTGACTTGTTTTTTGACTTTTTTAAAACGAGTTGTCTTTCAAGAACCAAAACCATTTTTATTCCTCTTATTCAGAACAAACGAAATGCACCTGTAGGATTTGCACTGCAGAATAGGTAAACCAATGGGAAGTAAGCTTTTCTTTCTTTTTACATTTTAATCTACTATTGTTTTGTTTTTTAAATGCTTTCACCAATTAAAATGTAAATTACATCAATGGACCTTGCATTGTTAATGGATCTGTAGGTTGCCAGATCCTCGGCGTCTGTGGTCCTCACAAAGCTGTGCGCTGGTGGCGGATAGGCTGTGGCTGACGCGTTGCAGTCACCGCGCGGTCATTTCCTTATTTAGATCTTCACGTGTGGTAATTACCGCGCCCCTGTGTCCTCCCCTGGGAAACTCCTCACCACAGGAAGCCTCATGAATTTCCAGCAGCCGTCACATCTCCACATCTCTGCCTACGCTTACATAAGACAAGCTGAAGTAATACATCTGCAGGAGGTGAAATGACCTGAATTCACAGGTTTGAAAACTAGTCTTTTCATGAAATTGAGATGACATATTAGGCTCCTTTCCCACTGAGCAGAAACCCCAGGTCTCCCTCTTCCTTAGGGTGTCTCTTCCACCTGTAACATTTAATCAACTTAAAGACCGTGTCTACAAACCGAGACCGGCTTTTGATGGTGATCTTGGTTCTATTTTGCCTTTTTGTGTACCGCAACATTTACAATGGTTCCCATAATTCTAGTGTTAAGGGAAGCAGTCTCGGATCAGGTTTAGGAGCTTTGCCTTGTTTCTTGTACCAGAAACAGCCGCACAATGTTCTTGAGTGGAACGACAGTGTCATGTTGGAACAGCCATATCTGAGCCCCACGCCCAAAGCAATGACTATAAATACTTTACAGCAGACACCACAGCGGCGCAGTGGTTAGCACCTGTGCTAAACAGCACAAATGATAACAATGTAATAATATTGTATTTATTAGTTATTCTCTAATGAGAATAACTCAATTCAATACAATTCAAAGCATGTGTTTGTGTCTAAATCACAATAGTTATCTCAGAGGACTTTACAAAGTTGTCACCAACACAGATCAGAAAATCAAACACAGTAAATGCAATAATTGGTCCATAGGGGATGGATGACCAGTGTCCATAAATGTTTTTAAAATGTACATGGGATCCTTTTTTTATAAATACAGGATCACTCGGGGTAAGGAATTATAGATGATAGATGTCCATACAATAAAATAACCTCTTAAATGTAGTCAAACATCTCTACTGCAGAAGTCATCCATTTTCGTTGTGACTTTGCCGCACTGCCGTCTCTGTCCTTCACTTGTTGAAATGCCCTCTGTTGAATGCGGTCACTGAGATGACCCTCATTGCCCTCTCTACACAAGCCCTGACCCCATGTCTGCCTGTTCCAGGAGAGTTCCACTGCAGCTTCGAGGACGAGCCCATCTGTATGTTCACTCAGGACAAGAACGACAACTTCGACTGGACCAGACACAGCGCCGCGACACGGGACACCAAGTACACCCCCAACACGGGGCCCAGTGGGGACCGCAGCGGCTCCAAGCAAGGTGAGGCTGCAACAGACAAACAAGAATGCAAGAATATATCATTTATACAAACTGTCAGAATCGGAATCTGACTTTCAATGTATATCGGGGCGACAGTACAGCATTAACCTTTGAGCCAGAAGGTCGTGGGTTCGAGCCCACCTCAAGACTTTCACCATCGACTCCCACTGTCTACTGTTGTTGTCCTTTGCAAGACACTTAACCTCTGGGAACACCAGGTGCCACAGTGGGGCGGCTGGTGGTGGTGAATAGTTGGTGGTGGTCGGAGGGGCCGATGGCACATACTGGTTGCCTTGCTTCTGTCAGTATGCCCCAGGGCAGTAGTAGTTTATCACCACTGTGTATGGAGAAAAATAATTATGTAAAGCGTCTTTGAGTGTCCAAAAAGACCGATGCATTATTATTATTATCATATAGAAAAAGATAACAATACCAATTTTCTTGTGCAAATTTTAGCAAAAATGTGAAGTGTTTTGCCTTGAGCTCTTTGCTTTAATACCTGTCCCGAAATTTCATGTTCTGTTAAGCTGCAAAAGGGGAATTGTCGAAACTCGAAATAGTTGTTCCCTCTACAGCAGGGGTGGGCAATTATTTTCTTCAGGGGACCACATTGGGATATACTGTATCTCTGTTGTTTAATAAACATGAAGAAATCCAGTGTTTTATTTGTATTTGACATTTTGTTTGGAATCAATTATAACTACCAACATTATGGGTTTATTAACTAGAACAAAATCTACATGTCATGATAGCAAATTTTTACGAGCCTTCATTGAGAATTGTATTATTCATTCATCAACAGACCGGTCTGAGGTTAACGGCTGGGAAGTAGAAATGTGAAATTTACCGCACTTTACCCAGGTCTGCTCTAAAGTCTATTGAAGCTGACCTCTAGACACCAGCTATAGCAGGGGTTATATTTACCAAACAACATGTAGACCTTTTTGGAGTTTGATCTTTTCGCGTCCAGATTGTACCCACTTATAATTAGAGCAACTCATCCGATGCCATAACTTGCCTCAGCTTGGCAATTGTCATTCTGGAGGTAATAGGCAATAGACTGGGACGTTTTGATGATGATTTCAGACTCCTTTTCTATCTTGTTTACATTTCATACAGTCAGATGCTTCCTCAGCTGTCACACAGAGAGGGATGTAAACAAAGTGGAAGTTTAGGCAATAAATCCGGTATCCATGTGTGATCAATGTTTTTCAATACCACAACATTGCCCACGAGAGGCCTGCTCGATGCACCGTACCCACCCACCCATTTGTTTCCATTGTTCAAGTCCACTGCACACCACTGTTGGCTCCAATAGACTTTGCCACATTCACTTGCCATATTTTTAACAGCTTGTTTTAGCGGCACAGTGATGGCCAAAATATGTGTTTCATAAAACGTTACAGCTCTTCCAGAGATGGCAGCAGTCCCTGAATAAACGGCTCTTTTAAGCACATGCTGAGAATCCTGTTTACTATTTTTCCATTCATTAGGAGCAATATAAAAGGAATTCTGTGTTTGTGATTTTTCGGATTTTAAAGGCGTAGGAGTAAATTGGCAGGTGGGAAAACAATCCATTCATGTTTTTTAAACGGTTACATTTTTGAAGTATTAAATGCAGATCCTTTGGCTGTATAATGTGGTTCTTCCAATTGGCTAATGTTTGATTTTTTTTGAGCTTGAGATTAGTTCGCTCCATACACACTCACATACACATACACATACACATACACTACATTTATCTAAAATGTTTTGTATTGAGTCTCTCCAATCTGTTATGGCTGCGGGGAGCTTTTCTACCTTTTTAAACAAGTATACCTTCTTTCAATTAGTTCAAAACGTTTGCAATACGACTGCGTGCTTACATTAAAGAAGAGGTTGTGTGCATAATATATATTAAACACGATGATGAGACGATGTACTGGTTTTTCATATCTCTCTTTTATATTTAGAATGTATCTCAGTATGTATTTCCCCACTTCTACCACCAGAGGGAAAATCAATATATCACATATATTAAATATATGACATACTTGATCATTTATGGGGGAGGAAATGTACCAATATTTTCATTATTGGCAGAGAAAATAATGAAAGAACAAATTGGTATTAGTTTAGAAAAAAACTAAATTGATCGTTTCCTTGTTGCTAATTTGACTTAAAATGTAGTAATGGGCAAACAACACAGAGGCTCCGGAGTCGCTCTTCCTGAAGCAATTTTGCTGTACAATCAAGTATTCAGAAGCTGCAATGATTACATTTGTCCACTAGTTGTAAGTAAGTAAGTAAGTAAGTATTTATTTATATACCGCCTTTTCACTGCAGATCTGAGTCTCAAAGCGGTTTACAATTGTTAATTTTTGGGCATTTGTCTCTCACTCCACACAGAGATGGGAAACCGGAGTACCCGGAGGAAACCTACGCAGACACGGGGAGAACATGCAAACTCCACTCAGAAAGGCCCTGGTCTGACCGGGATTCGAACCCAGGACCTTCTTGCTGAGAGGCGAGAGTGCTATCCACTCTGCCACCGTGCCGCCCACGTAGTTGTCAGTGTTACAAGCTTCGACACATTTGAAACAATCTGGCAAAAAAGCCTCGGTGTGTTTTGGGGCTTCATCTGCCCATCACTAATAAATTGCCTTCTGTAATATAAGCCTTGAATGCAGAATAATACAGAAGACTAATCAGTAAACAACTTTGGATGACTAAATGAGGTATTATAACAAGCCAGTTTTGCCTATGTTTCTTATTCTGCGAGTGTGTTAGTGTATAAATGCGGTAGGCAGTGATAGCAGACAGCTTTCTTCATTCTCTGTGTCCTGAGCCGCTTGATTTTTACAATGGACATCCTTGGATCATTCATATCCTTCATACAGTAATCTTGTTACTGCTGCCTGTTGCCATGGGTTACCTAAAATCGCCGGGGCTGTGTTTGTGTGTGCATGTGGCGTTTAGTATTCAGCCGGCTCGTTATGCGCACACCCCTGTTCCATATTCAGCTGCTTGATAAATGAACGAATAGAAGAAAATTGGATTCACAAGAAGAAAGAGGGGATTTTGGTGGATTTGAGTGAAAAGGCGAGGCTAGCTACATTCACTGGAGGCTACTGTGGTAAATAATGCAACGCTTCTAATCACCTAATGGTCTCAAAATGTCCGGGCATTTCATTACAGTCCCCATCGCGTAATTATCAGATCTGTTTCGTTTGAATCAGTCTGAAGGCACCTCACTGCAGAACAGGAATATCTAACAGAGATTAAGTAGATAGATAGATGGATAGATAGATACTTTATCGATCCCCGTTGGAGAAATTCAGATGTCCGGCAGCAGAAAACTCATCCAGTTCTGTTGTACAGTCTATTTAATTAATAATTAAATTAATTCATGATAATTAATCAATTGAACATATCGCCTTTTTCATGATCGTAAACAAAACCATAACCTTGTATCCCTGCTGCTGTCAGCTTCTACAATGAACACTGCTTATGGGGATTTAAGTGTATATAAATTTGACTGTTAATGTTGATAAAGTACATCTGGGACACCATTTTCAAAACGTCTCCACCCTATCCTGTCATAGGAGCTGTTGACGTAGCACTGTTGCAGCAGGATTATAATGTACACAAAACACATGGATATTTTTTTTCCTGTGGACACCTGATTTTCTCCAACAGGGGAACAATAAAACTATAAACGCTGTTTATATATTAGCTTACCTGATCAATTCAAGCCACTTCATCCATTATTTGATTTATTTGAACAAAACAGGGCACAGAATCTGGTATGAAATTTAAAAAAATGTTCAATCCGTGATGAAACCCTCCTCCTCCCCAACAACACCTCAACAGCACGGTGGCTGTGGATAGCACTCATGCTTCTCTCTCGGAACAAGGTCTTTATGAGTTGAGTTTTGCATGTTCTCCCCGTGTCTGCGTAGGGATCCTCCGGGTGGTCCGTTTACCCCTACCGCCAAAAGCATGCACCGATGAATTGAGCCGTATGAGGCTGTAGACGGCCCAGGTCTGGTCTACACCCCAGGGAAATGTTTAGACATAATCCGATTTCCCTCTTTGACTCATCATGCAATATTTCTGCCAGGGTCTAAACGCATGAAACCATATCCAACATGCCATGGACCAACATATGTCATATGTGACAGGCCGAGGGGAAGGAGGGCCACAAGTCGCGTAGGAGAATTTCACTTAAATCCACTAAGAACATAATGACATGTCTTGTCAACAACATTTGCCACATCAACCTAATACAATTACATCCTGTTTCTCTGTTTGAGTGTTTCCAGATTTAGTAGTTTATTCTTTGTAAATATTGTCAATGTGACAATGAACTGACTGAAAATGATTAGTTCAAAGAAAACTCAAAGTTCCTGTGCAATAATGAACATGACTGATATTCCACAAAGACATGTCCCTTCAAAGTGCTCTGCGTACGTTTATTCTCACCTCCAATTACAAGTGCTTTCCCCACATCCATCTAACCTCCTCCTCGCCGCTTGCTTCTGCTCGCTCATTATCTGCCGACCTATTGGCCGTGAACCGCAGCGCTCTTATAGTAATTGCACTAACCACAGCTTGTTCCTCCGTTTGCAGGCTTCTACATGTACATCGAGACCTCGCGGCCTCGAAAAGAGGGGGACCAGGCGCGCCTCGTCAGCCCGCTCTTCAACGTGGCGCCTAAGAACCCGTACGGCATCAACAACCCGCCCGCCTACTGCTTTGGCTTCTTCTACCACATGTACGGCAAGCACATAGGTAAGAAAGGTCTGATGTGAAAGCTCGTGGATGAGGGGGCAGAGGTGAGCGAGTGTGTTGTCAGTGTTGGATGTGGTAATGAGGGGAAAAGGTTGTGTTTTTTTTCCATCAAAAAGGACGTTCCTAGAGGCAGCAGGCCCACACACCTATCATATTATTTGTATTTATTTATTTATTTATGTTTCCACTGACAAGGTACATATAGTGTTGTTACTGATAACGGTGTTAATCTTCAAGCTACATTGAGAATAGTCAAAGGCAGATTTAAACACTTTTAACATCAGCTTTTTATTTATACTGTCCCAAAATCAAGTAATGAAGAAATAAAGGCGGGATTACTCAACTCATATTGCCAATTCTTTGCTTCATATGGGAAATGGCGTTTTCCCTTTGTCTCAAAGTTATTCAATCAATCAAGGGCTTTGTACGTTTGTTACATTTGTTTAAAAATAATCCCACATGTCCATTGACCTGTCAAACTGACCACCCAACAGACACACACACACACAGACACTCACACAGACACACACACACACACATGTTTTGTCTCCTTCAAACAGCGGTAGTTGGTTGGGTATACATCCAGTTTCACCCCTAAACTAATATGTGAAATACTTTGGAATCAGTCACTGACTTCATAATATAATATATAATATTAATCACTCACTTCATAATATTTTCAAAGATCATTCTGTCCATTAAATAATCAAATAAAAAACAACATAATGGTTTAAAAAGAAGTGAAGAAGAGAGGTTTTGTGGTGAAAACTGAGTGAGAAACATGTTTTATTTGTCTTAACCTTCTGAAAATCTCTGAATGAGTGCCCACCACATTCATATTCACAGCTCCACACACAGAACAGGGTGAAAAATAAAATAACTGCACTGTTTTCAAAATACCATCATTGTTCTCAGATTCGTTTACTCAAGCAGCAGAAGTGAGAAAGGAGAATGTCTCTGTACTAAGTCCTGGTGTCATATTGACATGGAGTCAATTAGAAAGGAAATATTTGCATCTTTAGTTTAATGGTCATGCATCCGCTCACAATTACAAGATGATTTAACTTTCTGACCGCAAAATAATTATTTTATTCCATCTAACTTGTTTCCGGCTCTAAAACCCGTTTATGTCACTAGTTTTCACTTGCACTAAGCTCTTAGTCAAAGTGTATAATATTGACTCACATTATTTCGCAAAAGATAAACAAAAATTGTAATACAGGGTGTCCAAAACTTTTCAGGTCAGGCAAAAATACTTTTATTTGGGTTTATTTGGGTTAAGTTATTGTGCTATTCTAAAATAACTTAAAAAGCATGTTTGTGTCAAAATATAATGTTGAGATTGTTTACATTTATCTGAAACGTGTCATGAATCCCACTCCGGGAACCACTGTTCAAATAGGATTAATACAGCTTGTGTTGGTCTGATTTATCGACTGTTTACTTTTCAATCAATCAATCAATCAAAGTTTATTTGTAGAGCGCCTTTCATACACAGGGCAACACAAAGCGCTTCACAGTCCACATCACAAATCATCACATAAAAAAAACACCAGAATCACAATTAAAACATTAAAATCACACAAAAGATTAAAACACAATTAAAACATTAAAATCACACAAAAGAATAAAACCATTAAAACTTTCAAAATTACACAAGAAATTTAAAAAAATAAATAAATGACAGCAGTGCATTAGAAATGGAGATAAAATCCTTCAGTTGTATGCACAGGCAAACAGAACAGTCTTTAACCTGGATTTGAACATTGACAGAGTAGACGCCTCCCTCACATTTTCAGGGAGATTGTTCCAGATCTTAGCTGCATAGATCTGAAACGCAGCCTCCCCATGTTTGGTTCTCACTCTGGGCACCAGCAGGAGGCCAGTCCCTGTGCTCCTCAGAGTCCGGGCCGGTTCATATGACACCAACATGTCACTAATGTATTCTGGTGCAAGGCCATGGAGAGACTTGTACACAAGCAGAGCCGTTTTAAAATCTATTCTTTGAGCCACAGGAAGCCAGTGCAGAGACCTGAGGACCGGACTAATATGGTCATACTTCCTGGTTCCTGTCAGGACTCTAGCTGCTGCATTTTGGATGTACTGCAGCTGCTTACAGGTCTGTTTGGACAGACCTGTAAGCAGGCCATTGCAGTAGTCTAGCCTGCTGGAGACAAATGCATGGACAAGAATCTCCAAGTCTGCCCTGGACACTATATTTCTAACTTTGGCAATGTTCTTCAGATGGTAAAAAGCTGTTGATGTTATTGATTTTATGTGGCTATTGAAATTTAGGTCTGAGTCCAGTATTACCCCCAAATTTCTGACCTTGTCTGAAGGAAGTAGGGAGAGAGACTGAAGTTGACAAATGACGCCCTCTCTTTGTTTCTGGGGACCAAAGACAATGATTTCGGTTTTGTCTGCATTTAGCTGGAGGAAATTATTTTGCATCCAGTCACTGATCTGTTGGATACAGTGAAGGAGCAAATCCAGTGGTCCATGTTCTCCTGCAGTCAGTGAGACATAGATTGAGTGTCGTCGGCGTAATTGTGGTAGGACACTTTGTTTCTTTGTATTAACTGACCTAACGGCAGCATGTAGAGATTAAATAGGAGAGGTCCCAGGATCGACCCCTGTGGTACTCCACAGGTCAGGGCCACATGATCTGAGACGCAGTCTCCAATCTCCACAAAGTACTTCCTATCCTCCAGGTAAGACCTAAACCAGTCTAGGGCTGTGCCAGTGACACCAACCCAGTCCTCCAGTCTCTGCATGAGGATCTCATGGTCGACAGTGTCGAACGCGGCACTAAGATCTAACATGACCAAAACTGTGACTTTACCTGGATCAGTGTGAAGTCGAATGTCGTTTGTTACCTTCACTAGAGCGGTCTCAGTACTGTGGTGGGGTCTAAACCCAAACTGGAACATATCAAAAGAATTATTCATTGTTAAAAATTCAGTAAGTTGTTGGGAGGCCACTTTTTCAAGAATTTTTCCAATAAATGGTAGATTCGATATGGGGCGATAATTTTGAAGTCCCGCAGGATCCAGACTGCTCTTTTTTAGGAGAGGTCTTATGACTGCTGTTTTTAGGGCCATAGGAAATGTTCCTGACGACAGAGACATGTTTACTATTTGTGTCAGTGAAGGTAACAAACTGCTCAGGACGGACTTCAGAAATTTAGAGGGCAATATATCCAGGCTACATGTGGAGGAGCTCAGACTCATGATTATCTTTTTGACAGTTTCAGTATCCACAGGTGCAAAGTGAGTTAGCTCAACAAGCTTCTCTGGCTGTTGCATTGTTATACGTGCTGTGGAGGTGATAGTGTTTTTGATTCCTTGTACTTTGTCATCGAAAAACTGTGCGAACTCATTACACCTAGATTTAGAGGAAAATTCTAGGGGCAACTTTACAGGGGGGTTCGTTAATCTACCAACTGTTGCAAACATAACACAAAAATTGTTACTGCAACCTCCAATAATGTCAGAAAAATACATTTCTCTTGTTCTACGTAGAACCCGGTTAAATTCACCCAACTCATCTTTAAAGATTTCATAATCGCCCTGGAAATTGGACTTTCGCCACTTCCGTTCGGCCCTCCGGCACTCTTGCTTCTGTGCCCTGACCGAGTCTGCCTTAGTCCATGGGGCCTTTTTCTTACTGGTAACTATTTTAACCGTCACAGGAGCAATGGCGTCCAGAACAGTCAGAACACTGGTGGTGACAGAGTTATACAATTCATCAACAGTAGAGCATGGAGTTTTCTCAAAATTTAGCATTCCCATGAACAGTTCACTTGTGTTTTCATGTATGTGTCTTCTTCTAACAATTGTAAATTCAGCTGGTGGTTTGCTAGCAAAACACATGTCAAAAAATACACAAAAATGATCTGACAAAGCAACATCAACTATATTAAAATTTGATACATTAACCCCCTTTGTAATTAGCAGGTCAAGAGTGTGCCCCCTGCTGTGGGTGGGGCCACTCACGTGCTGAATGAAACCAAAGGTCTCAAATACAGAAGCCAGCTCCTTTGCATTTCTGTCATCAACATTATCAACATGTACATTAAAATCACCTGTAATAACTAAACTATCAAAATCTGTGCACACGAATGAAAGTAGTTCAGTAAAATGGTCAATAAAATCGCAACATGACTGTGGTGGCCTGTACAGGACAATGAAAAGAGTAGAAGATTGCTTTTGTTCCATTTTAAAAGAAATATACTCAAACGATGAAAAATTTCCAAGGGGCATTCTATGGGAGACAAAGTGCTCTCTAAAAACTGCAGCTATGCCTCCCCCCCTTTTGTTTTCTCGTACTTCGGATTCGAATTTAAAATTGGGTGGTGTTGCTTCTATTAGAACCGCATTTCCTGTATTTTGGTTCAGCCATGTTTCAGCCATAAGCATAAAATCAAGATCATAAGAAGTGATACAATTATTAACTAAAAATGATTTGTTACATAGAGATCTGACATTAAGCATAGCAAGTTTAAAAATAACGTCAGAGTCGATTAATGTGGTTGATTGATTTCTACAGGGAACAGAAATTAGATTTGCAGAGTTGGACCGTCTAACTGCTGTCCTGTTTTGATTTCGTTTTTTAGAATTTAAAAACATTTTTGAGCTGGTGCGAGGAACACACACAGTCTCAATTGGCCTAAAATGTGAAAACCCTTGTTGTTCTTTAGCTCCCAGAGTCAGAAGGGAGTCAGCACAGTTCAGTGTTTGGACTGGTAATACACTGCCAGACGGACAGGGAGCAGTGTTTGCACCGTTGTACTCACCCGGTGCTGGTGAGCAGGAGGCGGGGGAGTGCGGTGGGGTCCGAGGGGGCTCAGATGTAAACAGTCACGCCCCCCTCGGGGAACGCTGAACAACGTAACGCATGTAGTCCATCAACAGGCTGCTACCGTATCTGTTTGGGTGTAATCCGTCTGGACGATAGGCTTCGTAACGTTTCCAGAAAAGGGCAAAGTTATTCACAAAGAC